TATGAGTAACCAGTTTAAACTGTGTCCGCGTGCATGACACTGGCTGTTTGCCAAGTAGTGCTTCAATCGGGTTTTTACAGAATGAGTGACCGTATAAATCAACTGATACACCCTAGACCAGAAACGCCGAATCTTGGGACACTCCCACCATACATGTATGAATGAACCCTCAGCCTGGCATCCTCTGAAACATGATGGAGACCTGGAGGGAACCGCACGGGAGATACGGAGAGGAACCAAATACCACCTTAATAAAAGTTTATAATTTGCTTCCACTGCTCGCACATTAGAATAACTCTTTGCAGTCGTGTACCAGATCTGGGACCATGTGTCCATTTCGATGGGTCCCCCCAGTTCCCGTTCCCATTTTGAGGCATAGGGAGGTAGCTCCTGTTGTAGGGAGTCCATCAGAGCATCATAGAGGTGAGAGATGAGGCCCGGGCCCTGTGAGTGAAGCAGCAATAGTTTTTCAAATGGGGTTATCACTGTCAGGTCCTGGGTCAGTCCCGCACATTGCTGCAAATAGTGTTTGATCTGTATGAATTGGAACAGGTCTCTGGTGGAAAGCTGATGTTTCCCTTGGAGCTCCGGGTATGAGACAATACCTGTTGAAGTATAAAAAAGTCTAGCCTGAACCAGGGAACGTGCCCTCCATCTATTAAAAGCTGTCAGATTCTCATAGCCTGGGGGAAACAGGGGATTCCCCTGTATGGATAAAAGGGGGGTGTGAGGGGAGATCCATTTCTGAGTCACCTTAAGGGCGCCCCAGAGACGAAGTGTATGATGGGCATGTGATTGGGCATGTGACTATTTTCCGCATTTTGGGGGGTAACCACGGCAAATTATTCAATATTATGGGGCTGCACAGATATGCCTCCACGGAGACCCATAAAGGGACCTCTTTCTCCGAGTGCCACATAACGAGGGGGACCATCTGTGCAGCCGCATAATATTTTTGAAAGAGAGGAAGACCTAGGCCCCCCCGTATTTTGGGTCGGTATAGCACCGAACGAGCTATTCTGGGAATGGAGCCAGACCAAATAAACCGTAGGATATGGCGCTGGAGAAGACGTAATCTAAAAGCTGGTATAGGTACAGGTAAAACTCTGGCGAAGTATAAGAATTTAGGTAGAAGAGACATCTTCACTGCTGTGATTCTGCCTAGCCAAGTTAGATGATGTTTAGCCCATGAGCCCAGTAGCGATATCAAGTGAGCAAATAATTTGGGGTAATTGGCATTATACAGGGCGTCCCATGTCGGAGTTATATGAACCCCCAAGTAGGGAAGAGCATGTGGTACCCATGCATAAGGAAAGGAGGACTTCAGGGAATCACAAAGGAGAGGCGGCAAAGATACATTGAGTGCTTTAGTTTTATTCGGGTTAACCTGTAAGCCCGATATGGTTCCAAATTGGTGTAATAGGGGTAATAGGTTGGGCAACGATATGAGGGGGTTGGAAATCATTAATAGCGCATCATCCGCAAATAAGCTAATCTTATGATGGTACCCTGCCACTTCTATGCCTTGGATGTCATTGTGAGATCTAATAGCTTGGGCCAATGGCTCAATCGCCAGGGCGAACAGGAGGGGGGAGAGAGGACACCCCTGCCTGGTCCCCCTGGATATCGGAAACGTCTCCGATCTGAAACCCTGGTATTGCACATACGCTGAAGGAGTAGAGTATAGGGAGTCCATCCAACCCAGAAATGATTGTCCAAAGCCCCAATGCCGAATCACTCCCCTCAGGTAGTCTCAGCTAATAGAATCAAACGCTTTGGTAATGTCTAAAGACAACAGCATGAGCGGGGTACGTCTAGAGCGGGCAATATGGAGGAGTAGGGATATGCGTCGTATGTTATCTCCCGCCTGACGTCCCGGCATGAACCCTACTTGATCCTTAGACACCAAAGCCCGTACATAAATATTCACATAAATATTCACTCCGAGAGCCAAAATTTTTGTAAGTAATTTGAGATCAATATTTATTAATGAGATGGGCCTGTAGTTTTCCCAAGACGAGTGGTCGGCATGGGGCTTTGGAATCATGCATATGGAAGAGACCAAGGAGTCTCTGGGCGGCAGGAGGCCTTTACGCATATCATTAAACAACGTAACTAAGTGTGGGGTAAGTTCTTCCGAAAATTTCTTGTAATATAGGCTGAGAGGTCAGGTGGCCTCGGTCGGTTCTCAATTGGATTGGGGTATGCTTGGGGCCCGCCTCCCGCAGTCTGGTGGCCAACATTTTACCCGGTTTATCTCCCTGTGCGTAGAATTTATGCTTCACCCATCTTAGCTGGGCTTCCGCCTTATGGGTCAAACATAAATTCAGTTCCGTTTTAACAGACGACAGTCGGGATCTATTAAGTACCCAAGGAGGAGGATATAGGAGGGAAGGAAGAGTGCGAGAAGAAAGAAGGTAGTGGGCGAGTAAGGGGGGAGGAATAGGAGGGAGGACACAGCAAGGAGACTCCTTCACCAGGAAGTCCACAATACACTGGTGGACCGAGAAAGTCACCCATCAGAGCTTTGCGTTATGCAAAGGCTGAGTGGTGAAAATGGGCTACATGTCATAACCGGGTCGGGCTCCAGGATCAATTTTATAAGGAGACATAACAATCTGCCTATAAGAGAAAAAATAAAAAAATTAATTTACTTCAAAATAACCCAAATTGAACCATAACTGAGTTTCATTAAAACAAGGACTAGGATATGCCAGGATCAAACCAATCCCAATTGCAGACTCAGAGCAAGGATGTCCCCACATGCATTTGCACCCCTGGGAGCAAGATTCTCCCCTTAACGATGGAAACGTCTGGGACCGGAGTCTAGTGGCACTTTGTGAAATCTCTATAGGCAAGCCTGCATGGGGGAGATCCATCCATTCAATCATACATTCTATGAGAAACAGTCCTCTTGTTTGGACCAGAACCCCAGCTGGGGGCATACTAAAACAGCCAGCCAGCGCTGACCAGAGCGAGCTTGTCTCGGAGGTGTCCTTCTCCCGTCAGCAGAAGCCCACGCAGGCCCCCATCCTGTCCCGGACGGCGCCGGACCAGTACCCATCTCCTGCATGTGCCTCTACTGAATGCCACCAGAGTGCGCCCAGAAGCCATAACTTACATCAGCGGGAGAGGGCCCAACCCCAGTGGTCCCCGGTATAGTCCTGAACAACTTCACGTACAAGTATAGTAATTTCCATATGTGGATGCCGCGAGGATCATCTGAAGGCACAATGGGGGGGGGAGGGGAAGTTGCTACTCAACGTCAATCACACAACGCAAATATCCTTGTTAACTCTTCTATGGGGCAGGGATAAACATTGCCCGCCGAGTCCCACCCTAGGAAAAAAAAAACTGCTCGGTGTCAAGACTCGTGTCGACATATCCTCATAGAAACATCCGAGAGAATTTGCATCAGTATAGGAGGAGAAGGCGGTACGCCCATCAGGGTGTAGAATAGGTGTTCCATCCCCCATCAACCCAGTAATCCCCCTCGAGGGCCCCAACCGTGTTCCAAACGGCTCTTAATAGTAAAAATAAGGGAGCCATACTAACACTCCACTGAACTCGGAACACATGTGGGGAAAAAGTCGAATCATATACTCATCCCATCACATCCGAATCCTGGGAAGGGGACAAGGGCCCGGCCGCTCCCGGAGGTCGATCCCCTGGTGAATGAGGGGAGCGTGGAGTACCGTGTTGTCTCACAGACCCCGATGATGACGGTCCCGGTATCTCTTCCGGCAGCTGTAATAGGTTGAGGTGTTCGAGGCACCGAGTAGCTTCATCCACTGTGGTGAGAGTGTAGGTCCTGCTCTCGTAGAGGAACTGGAGCTTGAATGGAAATCCCCAACGGTATCTAACCCGTCTTGATTGTAGTGCCTGCGTTATCAGGCGGAATTCCCTCCTCTTAGCGATCGTCACCGGGGAAAGGTCCGAGAAGACCTGGTATGTATATCCCTGAAAGCGAAGGGCAGGGCTCTCCCTAGCTGCCTGAAGGAGTCGCTTCTTTGTGCGATAGAAATGCAGGCGCACTATTATGTCCCGTGGAGGCCCCTCTGCTGAGCGTCTAGTGAGGGCCCGATGTATCCGATCGAATTCCAGCCTTTCGATGGGTATGTTGGGGGCCAATTCCTGAAACATAGCCGTGATCGTGGATTGCAGATCCACCACATTCTCCGGCACACCCCGTATACGTAGATTCGTCCGACGGTCCCGATTCTCGGCGTCTTCTATTTGGGAATGTAGAGATAGGTTAATCTTGCGAAACCGTTCCAGTTCGTCCTCGTGGCCCTCAATGATAGTGGTGATATCATTACACCGTGACTCCAGCACCGTTGTTCGCTTCCCGATATCCCGGATCTCACGGATAAGTTGGGACGTTATCTGTTTGGACATCTTGTCCAAGGCTTTATGCAGTGTAGTTTCAAATTGTGCCATCATAGCCTGCTGTTGGTCTTGTAGGGATTGATGAGGCTCGTCTCCAGCCGGATCCACAGTGCTCACCGATGACCTCGTGTCTTCATCTGGTGATGGTGCTTTGTACGTGGATCTGCGAGACATCCTCCCCAAGGCCTCGTGGAGAGTCGATTGGCTAAGTGTGGGTTTTTTCTTCGGGTATGTGCGACCCATTTTAGGATCTATCGACGACCCGAGTGTTCCTATGACAGGTCCCAATAAGGGTGTACAAAATCTGGCAGTAATATCAGCCATATGATCCTGAAGGCGCCCGGTCCGGTGCAGAGCTAATCAAACCGCGGCCATCACGGTCAGCCTCGCGCATGCGCCCCAGCTGCTAGAAATTTAAAGCAGAAGCATTGAATGTTCACCAAAATTTAGGCACACACAAAAAAAAATAACAGACCACAAACAACTCTTTTGGGAGCAAAGGGTTATGCTTCTATAAGTTCGGGACATTAATATGAAAAGTATTTGGCTTTTTTTCATTAGTGCTTTTCCGGACACTTCACTACAATCACAATTATACTGTTTGTACATACCTGCGACCAGCTTTTCCTTGGGCTTTTCTCTTAAACCAAGCTTCTAGCTCTGGACTTGATAACTCAGTTGGTTTTAGAAGATCTAGGGTGGTGAAATCTTTTCCTTGTTTCCACATTTCATAGCGATCTGGCTGTAGGAACTTCACAAACACATCCATAGAAATCTTGACCATGTCTTTCCGACATGTACACTATGAAAAGTAATTTAGCAGAATGTGAGTCACAGAAGACAACAAACAAAAATTTTAAAAAAATTATTTAAAAAATAAATAACAGGAAGACAAATGAAATTGCCCTACCTGGGTGGCCATTTTGCCATAGTCAATCCAGCGTAATGTGGCAAAATTTGTGGATTCTGCACAGTTGAACCCATGGTTAAATCCAGCATGATATCCATATGGAAATGTTATCATAAACTCACCAGCTTCTTGTGTGATCTATTCATGAGATGGCAAAATACACAAACATGAAGTCATCAGCAGATAAAGATAATTTCCACAAATCGATAACTGAACTCACCCGGTCAAAAGGAATTCCATATTTCTTCAAAATGGAAGGAGAAATTAGAGTCATTTTGTGTCTCAGAAAAGCATCACACCCTTGAGAACTGCCAGGAAAAAAACCTGTGGAACAAAACACCAAGTATGTGAGGGAAAACTTGTAGACCAGCTCAAGCAGACAAGGATGGTCATTTTAAAAAGGTAATTTTAAAGGAAACATTTCAAGGTTAAGTGGAGGACTTCCCTGGTGACTCTTAATGCTGCAAATGCTAGTAGCCTGGGCTTCATGCTGCCCCTCCTATTTCAATACCTTGAGTCATTGACCAAGAACAGATTACACAGAATAACATCTAACTTTACTGTGACTTTCACTAATCTGTATATTCGTTTCAGGTAAGCGACTCAATTTACTTAAAGGAGAACTATGAGGTGAGTGCTTTTCCCTCACCTCATAGTTCTAGCCGACCTGTGACAATGAGACTGTCACAGGTCGGCTCAGTAGATCGGGAGGTGAGCGAACACATACCGGCGTTTGCTCACTTCTCGATCCTGTCACAGCTCTCTGCCGTGACAGGGAGGGGGGGCTGGCTTCCCCTCTCCGCCAGCGCTGACTGGCGGAACGGACGGGGGAGGGGGCGGGTACAGCTGTCTCTGCCTCTAGACAGGCAGAGCCAGCTGTCACTCACGCAGCTGGGCGGATCCTGTCATCTACGTCGGGATCCGCTCCGGCTGCGGCGTCTCAGTATACCGCGAGCTGTAGCACGCGGTATACTGAGCTTAGGGTACTGGGAGGACGCTAGTTTGTGTCCTCCCGTTACCCTAAGGAGAACTATGGGGAAAA